CCCCCCCCCCCCCCCCCGTGGCTTCTTCGCCTGGCAGAGAGGCTGCAGCAGGGGTGGGGGGGAGGCGGGCGGGAGGCGAGCAGCGGCGGCGGCCGGGAAGGGGGGAGGGGAGCGGTGGCAGCAGGGGGGGAGGCGAGCAGCAGCGGCGGTGGCAGGGGGGAAGCGGGCGGCGGCGGGGGGGAAGCGAGCGGCAGCTGGGTGACCCTCCCAGCCTGGTTCAGGCAGAGAGGTCTCCAGGCCCCACCAGGAAGTTGGCATCTGCGCTCGCCTAGAGCGCAGGACAACCTCTGGCCGGCCCTGGGTGGCACTAAAGCAGGATGGCATTCCAGCCAGCCCAGTCCTCCTCCGCTGGCCTTTGACTGCCAGATTCCGTGGTCCGTGACTGCTGGTGCCATGTTGGGTTGGAGCCCCCCAACTAGAGATGTAAAATTTCCGGAAATTTTGAAGCTCGGAAAAAAACCCGTTTTTTTTCGGGAAAAAATGGAAATTTTCGGAAAAATTGAAAAAAATGCTACATTAGCATTTCTTTTGTTTTTTCTAGATTGAAAGTCATTCTGTTACTTTAGGAACAGAAAATATGACTATGGACATTTTTATTTGGCATGAAATTATCACAACTAGTATATTAAAAATATAGTGTATCCAAACAATTATTACAAACAGAATACCCACCCACATGCAAAAACAAAACTGAAACCTTTTTATTTTCTTGTGACAATCGCACCTCCTAAAGGAAGAAATGCATCTTGTTCTTGCATTGGAGAGTTCAGTTTGTAACCTAGGACTTGCTTGTCCTCAGTGCACAGAAATTAGATCAATCTGATACCATATATATATATATTAGAAATGATTTGGAAAATATTTGAACACCTTGTGTTAAAATATTTTATTCATCATGTTAAAATAAAACGTTCCATAATCATTTTTTTCTTTTCTTTTCTTTTTTCAATTTTTCCAATTTTTCGGAAAAAAACAAAAAATCTTCAGGAAAAAAACGGGGAAAAACCATTTCCCCCCCGAAATTTTCCGTTTTTTCCCCAGGCCTTCATATCTCTACCCCCAACAGATCCTCAGATTGTTGGTTGTTGTTTTTTTAATGGAAAGCAAACAAGCACTGTACAAATAACGCAGACCACAAGTGCTCAAAAAGTCATGCAAAAAGAGTAAATGGTAGGAGGAAAGGAGGCTTACCGACTATTGGAGAGTTTGTTCTATTGTTGATCGGGTGCCCGGCTTTGAATGATTATAATGGCTTGTGGGTGTTACTGGTAGGCAGTGCTCCCTCTAAGCTGAGTTAGTGTGAGCCTGCTCCCAGTTTTCTAGCCTCCGGCTCACCCATTTTTGTCTTGGCTCAGGAAGGAGGGCTCCAGAGCGAACTAATTTATGCAGTAGCCAAATGGCTCGCTCACATTATAATTGAATGATTATAATAGGATTGAGTTTTTTCCTGTAATACTGGCCTGAAGGCTTTTATACACTGTGAGTGCTGTGCTAAGGGTTTTTCCTTCTACCATTTTAAAGTCTTCTGTACGTTATGAGTGCTTTATGAAGTAGTGTGAACTTCTTGAAGAAGAGCTATCCAAATGAAGATCAAAATCGTCTTTTGTCTTTTGTCTGTGTACCATTTGTGGACTTGCATTTTGTCTGTGTACCATTTATGGACTTGCACTAGTCATGGACCTGTACATTATATGATGTAATCTGGTTTTACTGATACATGTGGTCCTCTGTTATTCTTGTCATATAAATTTACTCTTTTTGTATGACTTTTAGAGCAGGAAGAGGAAAGAGGGGGTCTGGCGGATTAGAAAAGGGGAACAGATGAGCAGGGCCGGATGGAAGGACAGGGGTGAGGTGGGGGACTTCTCCCACTGGTAGCCCACTTTCCCTCGGTTGTAGCCCTTGAAGGTTCCCAAGAAGTCTTCCGATGGGACGCAGATCTATTAGTTTCTGTACGTTTCGGCTGAATCACGACCCTCCAATCATCCCCTGCTGGGACCCCAGAGTCTGGTGGGGCTGGTGATTGGCACCCCTTCCTGCAGCAGGTGGGAATTCATAGAATCATATAGAGTTGGAAGGGACCTCCGGGGTCATCTAGTCCAACCCCCTGCACAATGCAGGGAATCCACAAATACTCTCCCCCTCCGCACCCGCAGTGACCACTGAGTTCCACGGCCAGAAAATGACAAAAAACCTCCAGGATCCCTGGCCAAACTGGAATTGTGTCAAGGCTTGGGAGTGCGTGGCTCTAAAGGCGCGGGGGAGTTCACAGAGGACAGGTCTGCAGTTCAAGACGGACATGTGGAGCCTCCATGGACGGAGGCAGTCTTCCTCTGAGCCCTAGAAGCCGGGAACAGACCACAGGAAAGGAGGCCGCTGCCTCCGTGCCCTCCTCATGAGCCCCCCCCCCCAGAAAAGCTGCCTTAATGCTCCTGCGGAGTGCAGAGGGTTGGACTAGATGACCTGCAAGGTCCCTTCCCACTCTTTAACATTCTATGATTTTATGAATTCTGTCGGATCCGGGCTCTTTGTCCAACGGAGCCAGGCGGCTGGATGCCCTTCCTAGGGAGGAAGGTGGCTTGCAGGGGTTGCCCAGTCCTTTTGACCAAACTGACTGTCGGGATGTTCCTCACCTCCAGGGGGAACAAAGGACAGCTCGGGCACGCGGACTCCACCTTGCGCCTCCACTTAGCCGAACGCGAGCAGGCCCTGCTGGCGTGCCAGGAGACAGTCCAGGTAAGGGCCGCTTGTTTCCCTCTCTCCTTCCGGGAATTGCACAGCTTTGCTTCCCCACCAGGGGTCATTTCGTAGAAAAAGAGGTGCAGGAGCTCATTAGCATAACTCGTTAGCATAACTTATTTGCATGTGCCACACCCCCTGACATCACCGGAAGTGTGTCAGAAGGCAACACCCACCGCTCAGGTTCCACTGGACGGTTTTGGATTGCTAGCTATTGTGTGTGTGTGTGGGAACGTGCAGATCTGCCCTCACAGAGGAGGGAGAGCTTGGACCTGAATAAGACTTGGTCTTAAAGGTGCCCCTGGACTATTTTGGATTGCTAGCTATTGGGGGGGGGACATGCAGATCTGTCCTCGCTGAGGAGGGAGAGCTTGTACCTGAATAAAATTTGGTCTTAAAGGTGCCACTGGACTGTTTTGGACTGGGGGCCCGGGGGGGGGGCTCTGCAACTTATCTGGCTGCTTCTTGCTCTGACTGAGGGCTGCTGGGAGCAGGGGGAGGGGCTTGTTGCATGTGCCTGCCCCCTGGGCTCTTTACTGCCGGAGCTCCGCTCCTATGCGCTCCTTCAGGAAATGACCCCTGTTCCCCACCACCACCTTGCTGGCCTACTCTGTCTGGCTGTTTTGCACACGCTGCTTCTCAAGTGACAGGCAGTTCCAGGGGACAAGCATCGACAAGGTCATCCCTCAAACGTACTGCGGTGTAATAAAGTGGAGTTTAAACTGTGCCGGTTTAGAGGGTGGGAAGCAGGCAGGCAGGGAACAGCCATCCCGAGAACCTCAGTCGAGGGCTCGGGGATCAGAAAGGCGGCTTCTGCCTTCTGCCCACCTTTAACTTCCGAAAGTGCTTTTTCCGGATTGTGCCCAAGTAAGCTGAATGTGACCCAATGCCAGTGGTTCCGAGTCACCACCGACCATCAGAGATCACTAAGCAAGAAGCTTTGCTCACCGTCCAGTATGGAAACCCGGGTGGAGAAAGCCATTCCCAGTTGTGTGTGTGTGTGTGTGTGTGAAGCGCCATCAAGTTGCTGCCGACTTAGCGGCAATCCTGTAGTTTTTCAAGACACATTCCCAATAATACAGGAGCATATTTCCTTTCAATGTTACTTGGCTTTTTACAAAATTACCTTGCTTTGTATATATGTGCACGGACACGAAACTAGATGCAAAATCCAGTTTGGTGACGTGGTTAAGTGCACGGACTCTAATCTGGGGAAACCGGGTTTGATTCCCCACTCCTCCACTTGCACCTGCAGGATGACCTTGGGCAAGCCGTAGTTCTGTCAGAGCTGTTGTGGGAAGGGGAAGGGAAAGGAGTTTGTAAGCCGCTCTGAGACTCCGAGTGAAGGGTGGGGTATAAATCCAATCTCCTCCTCCTCCTGTTTCTTCTTCTTCTTCTTCTTCTTCAAAGCAAAGCAAAACCAATCTCCCGTAACCTGATCTTTAAAAAATAAGCACAAAGAACCTGGAGAAACCACCAGACACAAGTCAGAGGCCAGAGGCAGTCAAATGCTTGCCAGGGAAAGGGCAGTTTGAACTGGGTGCCAAACCAGCAACAGGCGTGGGACCCAGAGAGCAGGGCAGGAGGTTCAAAACCCTCTTTGTTTTATTTGTTAATTTATTTCATTTTTATGAACATGAGAGAATCCCATGTTGGATCAGGCCAGTGGCCCATCCAGTCCAACACTCTGTGTCACACAGTGGCCAAAAATACCAGGTGCCACCAGGAGGTCCACCAGTGGGGCCAGGACACTAGAAGCCCTCCCACTCTTGCCCAACCCCCCCAAGCACCAAGAAGACAGAGCATCGCTTGCCCCAGTAAGATATAAGAACATAAGAGAAGCCAATGTTGGATCAGGCCAATGGGCCATCCAGTCCAACACTCTGTGTCACACAGTGGCCAAAAATACCAGGTGCCACCAGGAGGTCCAGCAGTGGGGCCAGAACTCCAGAAGTCCTCCCACTGTTCCCCCCCCAAGCACCAAGAATAGAGAGCATCCCTTGCCCCAGATATAAGAACATAAGAGAAGCCCATGTTGGATCAGGCCAATGGCCCATCCAGTCCAACACTCTGTGTCACACAGTGGCCAAAAATACCAGGTGCCACCAGGAGCTCCACCAGCGGGGCCAGGACACCAGAAGCCCTCCCACTGTTGCCCCCAAGCACAAAATGACAGAGCATCACCTGCCCCAGCCTGTGAGTTCCTATCTATACCTTGTGGCTAATGGCCACTGATGGACCTCTGCTCCAGATGTTTATCCAATTCCCTCTTGAAGCCGTCCATGCTTGTAGCTGCCACCACCTCCACTGCTTCTCTCTGGCTAAGAGCTCAAAGCAGCTTCTAGCAGTCAACAACTACAACAATTAAAACACATGCATCGATGATATCCACTAGAAACACACACGGGTCATTTCGTAGAAAAAGAGGGGCAGGAGCTCATTAGCATAACGCATAACTCATTTGCATATGCCACACCCCCTGACCTCACCAGAAGTGTGTCAGAAGGCAACACCCACCGCTCAGGCTCCACTGGACTCTTTTGGATTGCTAGCTATTGGGGGGGGGACATGCAGATCTGTCCTCGCTGAGGAGGGAGAGCTTGTACCTGAATAAAACTTGGCCTTAAAGGTGCCACTGGACTGTTTTGGACCGGGGGGGGGGCAGAGGGGGCTCTGCAGCTTACCTGGCTGCTTCTTGCTCTGACTGAGGGCTGCTGGGAGCAGGGGGCGGGGTTTGTTGCATGTGCCCGCCCCCTGGGCTCTTTACCGCCGGAGCTCTGCTCCTGTGCGCTCCTGCAGGAAATGACCCCTGAACACACACAAAAGTATAACCAATATCCAGTAAGATAAAATCATATAAAATCATACAAATACATAAAAGCAATCTCATCCTCTCCCACAGAGTGCAGGAATGTCTACCATCAATGCTCCCTCTAAGATGTGGAGACTTGTGAGCAAAAAATCTACTTTGTGAGCTACCAGCATTAAAGTTGTGAGTGAGCAATTTGGCTACTGCATAAATTAGTTTGCTCTGGAGCCATCCTTCCTGAGCCAAGACAAAAATGTGTGAGCCGGAGGCTAAAAAACTGAGCTAGCTCACACTAACTCAGCTTAGAGGGAACACTGCCTACCAGTAACATCAAACATTACCCAAAAGCCAAACTGTACTTCACAACAGGGAGATAATAATCCTGCTTTACAGAGTCTAGGAGCCACCACAGAGAAGGCCCTGTCCCAATGGGGAAGGAACATGGAGAAGGTTTGGTACATAGCTAGGTGGGTATGAGGGGATGTAGCAGCACTTTGAAGGTTGCTTGTGCTTCATCCCACCCTCATCTCTACACAGAGCTTCTGTGCGTCTGAGATGGCCCATTAGCCAAACTGTGTGCAGTTGTGGTCACCACACCTTAAAAAGGATATTATAGCTTTGGGGAAAGTGCAGAAAAGGGCAACTCGAATGATAAAAGGGTTGGAACACTTTCCCTATGAGGAAAGGTTAAGGCGCTTAGGGCTCTTTAGCTTGGAGAAACGATGACTGAGGGGTGACATGATCGAGGTTTATAAGATTATGCATGGGAAAGAGCAGGTAGAGAAAGAGGTACCTTTCTCCCTTTCTCACAATACAAGAACTCGTGGGCACTCCATGAAACTGCAGAGCGGTCGGGTTAGAACGGATCAAAGGAAGTACTTCTTCACCCAAAAAGTGATTAACACTTGGAATTCACTGTCACAGGAAGTGGTGGCAGCTACAAGCATGGACAGCTTCAAAAGGGAATTAGATAAGCATATGGAGCAGAGGTCCATCAGTGGCTATTAGCCACAAGGTATAGATAGGGACTCTGGGGCAAGTGATGCTCTGTCTTCTTGGTGCTTGGGGGGGGGGTCAACAGTGGGAGGGCTTCTAGTGTTCTGGCCCCACTGGTGGACCTCCTGATGGCCCCTGGTATTTCTGGCCACTGTGTGACACAGAGTGTTGGACTGGATGGGCCTTTGGCCTGATCCATCATTGGCGTCTCTGATGTTCTTATGTTAACCAAGGGCAATCCTGCATTGGCGTTTCCCTCCATTGTTTTACGAAACCCACGTTGGAGCAGACATTCCCCCTCTGCATTGCATGCCGCTTTCCCTTTCTTTGATCACTGGATCCTATGGTACTTTCTGCATAGATTTATGGCCATTCAGGGGTGACTTTGCAGTCAATACTGCGTTGCCCCGAAGTATCTGAATGTGGTTTTGAGCTGCACCTTTCCCCGCAGTGTTGAGAAAATGTGGAGCGAAGGCCAGATGCAGAATCGCCCCAAGTGTTTCCCAGGAACCAACACAATGCATTTCGGTGGCCTGCCTTCCCCCCTCCCCACGCCCTCCCCGCTCCTCCAGGAGGCTGCTGGGAGTCCAATGTTCCCTCTAAGCTGTGTTAGTGTGAGCTAGCTCACAGTTTTTTAGCCTCTGGCTCGCACATTTTTGTCTTAGCTCAGGAAGGAGGGCTCCAGAGCAGACTAATTGATGCAGTAGTCAAATCGCTTGCTCACAACTTTAACGCCAGCGGCTCACAGAGTAGAATTTTTGCTTGGAAGACCCCACAGCTTAGAGGGAACGTTGGCTGGGACCCCTGAGAAATGCGTTCTCTTCTGTCTCCCCTCGGCCCAGATCCTGCAGCTGAAGATCCGCAGGCTGGAGCACCTCCTGCACCTGAAGAACGTCCGCATCGACAACCTCTCCCGGAAGCTGCAGCAGGCGGAGCAGAAACGGAAGTGAATGAATCCGGCTCAGGTGCCCGCCCAGCTAGGATGACTTTAGGCCTTCCTCTCGCCCAAGAGCGCCCCCTCTTCTTCCAAAGCAAGCGGCTGCCTTCCAACTCCAGGGAGGCGACCCATACAAAGCCCGGCAGGTCCAACTGAGAAAGCATAACCTCTCCAGAGCGGCCCAGGAGGTGCTGGGGAGACACAGTCCTTGGGGAAATCTAGATAAAAGAACCAGCCGGAGCCAGGCGCTGGGAACCTCGTGTCCTCCTGGGTTTTGCAAGACACAGCACGGTCTGGGGAAAGCCCCGGGTCCGATGGGGCAAGCGGCTCCCCCCCCCGCTCGTGGCTGGCCCGTCTCCTTCAGTGTGGCCCGCAGAGCCAGCCTCGTCAGAACCGGTAGGGGCGGAGGACCCGCCCGGAAGCCCCCTGGTCGGGAGCCCCCCCCGTTAGATGGCACGTGACCTCCAGTGGCCCCCACAGCCTCAGTTCTGCTGGCTATGATGGGACGTGACAGAGAGGACGGCCCGGGACCCACGCAGGCTACGGGCCTGCCAGGGCCCCACGCAGGCTACGGGCCTGTTCAGCACGCTTATATGCCCCCCGATCAGGGGCAGATTCAGGCTCACGGGTGCCCTAAGCACCGACCAATCTGGGTGCCCCCCCTCCTTTCCGCACTGTCATGACAACTGAATTTGGCTCCATCATTTTTGTTTTAAACTCATGCATTTTACTTTTAAACGTAGCCTATGACACTGCACCTTGCCAACAAAGAATTGAAGATAACCCTCGGGTGCACCATGATCAATGTGCACTCGTTTTATCATTTTTTTTTTAACAAATCTTCATTCGTTTTTCTTTTCTTTTCACCCTTTCCCCAACTCTGTGGTGCCCCCTTTGGCCCCGGTGCCCTAAGCACCTGCTTAGTCTGCTTAATGGTTAATCCGGCCATGCCCCCCGATAACCAAGTCTTACAGCCCTCTGGCCATCCCCTCCGGACTGGTCAATGAAGCCAACCCCTGGCCTGCACCTGGCATGCCCACATCACTGGCAATCGCCAGGCTCCGTCCGGAGGCTCTGGAGCAGCCGGAAAGGTGGTGGGAGACGGATCCGTGGGGTGGTTCTTTCGGTTCGGGGAGGCAGCGGCTACCTCAGCGGGGCCTGCTCCAGAGACAGTCTGCGGCCCTTCTCGATCTCCCTGACACCTTAGCCTCAGAGGGACAGAACCCTCCTGGGGAGAGTACACATCCCCCTTGGGGGTGTCTCCTACACCCCCGATCTTCTTTTGGGTGATGGGCGCAGCCAGGTTTCGACCACCACTGGGCCTCCTCCCGTTCCAGGGCCCGTTGCCATAAACGTGCAGGTGGTGCTTCGGGGGGGTCAACAGTGGGAGGGCTTCTAGTGTTCTGGCCCCACTGGTGGACCTCCTGATGGCCCCTGGTATTTCTGGCCACTGTGTGACACAGAGTGTTGGACTGGATGGGCCTTTGGCCTGATCCATCATTGGCGTCTCTTATGTTCTTATGTTAACCAAGGGCAATCCTGCATTGGCGTTTCCCTCCATTGTTTTACGAAACCCACGTTGGAGCAGACATTCCCCCTCTGCATTGCATGCTGCTTTCACTTTCTTTGATCATTGGATTCTATGGTACTTTCTGCATAGATTGATGGCCGTTCAGGGGTGACCTTTCAGTCAATACTGCCTTGCCCCGAGGTATCTGAATGTGGTTTTGAGCTGCACCTTTCCCGCAGTGTTGAGAAAATGTGGAGCGAAGGCCAGGTGCAGGATCGCCCCAAGTGTTTCCCAGGAACCAACACAATGCATTTCGGTGGCCTGCCTTCCCCCCTCCCCACGCCCTCCCCGCTCCTCCAGGAGGCTGCTGGGAGTCCAATGTTCCCTCTAAGCTGTGTTAGTGTGAGCTAGCTCACAGTTTTTTAGCCTCTGGCTCGCACATTTTTGTCTTAGCTCAGGAAGGAGGGCTCCAGAGCAGACTAATTGATGCAGTAGTCAAATCGCTTGCTCACAACTTTAACGCCAGCGGCTCACAGAGTAGAATTTTTGCTTGGAAGACCCCACAGCTTAGAGGGAACGTTGGCTGGGACCCCTGAGAAATGCGTTCTCTTCTGTCTCCCCTCGGCCCAGATCCTGCAGCTGAAGATCCGCAGGCTGGAGCACCTCCTGCACCTGAAGAACGTCCGCATCGACAACCTCTCCCGGAAGCTGCAGCAGGCGGAGCAGAAACGGAAGTGAATGAATCCGGCTCAGGTGCCCGCCCAGCTAGGATGACTTTAGGCCTTCCTCTCGCCCAAAAGCGCCCCCTCTTCTTCCAAAGCAAGCGGCTGCCTTCCAACTCCAGGGAGGCGACCCATACAAAGCCCGGCAGGTCCAACTGAGAAAGCATAACCTCTCCAGAGCGGCCCAGGAGGTGCTGGGGAGACACAGTCCTTGGGGAAATCTAGATAAAAGAACCAGCCGGAGCCAGGCGCTGGGAACCTCGTGTCCTCCTGGGTTTTGCAAGACACAGCACGGTCTGGGGAAAGCCCCGGGTCCGATGGGGCAAGCGGCTCCCCCCCCCGCTCGTGGCTGGCCCGTCTCCTTCAGTGTGGCCCGCAGAGCCAGCCTCGTCAGAACCGGTAGGGGCGGAGGACCCGCCCGGAAGCCCCCTGGTCGGGAGCCCCCCCCGTTAGATGGCACGTGACCTCCAGTGGCCCCCACAGCCTCCGTTCTGCTGGCTATGATGGGACGTGACAGAGAGGACGGCCCGGGACCCACGCAGGCTACGGGCCTGCCAGGGCCCCACGCAGGCTACGGGCCTGTTCAGCACGCTTATATGCCCCCCGATCAGGGGCAGATTCAGGCTCACGGGTGCCCTAAGCACCGACCAATCTGGGTGCCCCCCCTCCTTTCCACACTGTCATGACAACTGAATTTGGCTCCATCATTTTTGTTTTAAACTCATGCATTTTACTTTTAAACGTAGCCTATGACACTGCACCTTGCCAACAAAGAATTGAAGATAACCCTCGGGTGCACCATGATCAATGTGCACTCGTTTTATCATTTTTTTTTTAACAAATCTTCATTCGTTTTTCTTTTCTTTTCACCCTTTCCCCAACTCTGTGGTGCCCCCTTTGGCCCCGGTGCCCTAAGCACCTGCTTAGTCTGCTTAATGGTTAATCCGGCCATGCCCCCCGATAACCAAGTCTTACAGCCCTCTGGCCATCCCCTCCGGACTGGTCAATGAAGCCAACCCCTGGCCTGCACCTGGCATGCCCACATCACTGGCAATCGCCAGGCTCCGTCCGGAGGCTCTGGAGCAGCCGGAAAGGTGGTGGGAGACGGATCCGTGGGGTGGTTCTTTCGGTTCGGGGAGGCAGCGGCTACCTCAGCGGGGCCTGCTCCAGAGACAGTCTGCGGCCCTTCTCGATCTCCCTGACACCTTAGCCTCAGAGGGACAGAACCCTCCTGGGGAGAGTACACATCCCCCTTGGGGGTGTCTCCTACACCCCCGATCTTCTTTTGGGTGATGGGCGCAGCCAGGTTTCGACCACCACTGGGCCTCCTCCCGTTCCAGGGCCCGTTGCCATAAACGTGCAGGTGGTGCTTCGGCTGCGCCTTCTCCCTCTCGGTTTTGGTACCGAGAGGGAGATGCTACCCCTAAAAGCCTGTTGAACATCTGCCGGCGCAGGCTTCCTTGCAGCCATTGCAAACGCCGTGGGTGGCCATGGATGCCAGAGGCACGCTGCTAGTGATGTCAACCCCCCCCCCCCGGAGGGCACACGGCAGTGGCGGCGACTTGCGGGCCCACGCGATGCTCGGCCCTCTCAGCAGACGCAAGTGGCATGAATGCGCCTCACAAACCGAGCGCGACAGACAGGGGTGGTGTGTGTGCACCGTACCGACCAAGCACTGAGCCTGTTTGGTCGCGTTCACCGGGCTTAGGGTTTGCAAGGGAGGCTTTTTTGAAAAGTCAAATTTTCACTCATTTACACAAAAGAAACCCTTCCCTGTCGTGGGCCAGTGCTTCAGAGTGTCATTCCCCGTTGTTCCATCTGCCTTTGTGTCCTATCTGATCTAGGGTACACCACCTGTTCCCCAAAGCTTCCCATCGCCAAACTCTTTCCGATGCTGACCGTACCTTCACCAGCCTCTTTGCAAACTTGGTCAAGTTGCCCCCAAAAGCACAGAGCTGGTGGCTGCCCTCCCTCTGTCTCCCCTTTCTGTCTTATCACGAGGGACCTCTAGTTTAATCCTCAGCGCCTCCGTCAGACTACGGCTCCCAGGATCTCCCAGGACACTGACCGAGAGCTGACTTCACAGTGTGTCATGTGGGGGTAGCCTCTGACCCGCCATCTTGGCACGAGCAGGCCGCTGCAGGGAGAGAGTCGGTCTGCACCCCCCTGACCCGGACAGCTAGCCCACAGGTGTGTGAGAGGCATTATGGACTTTCCCGCATCCTGATTTTTCTCACTTGTGTGTTCCTGTTGCTTGGGGAGGATGTTCTGTTCTGCACATGTGTTGTGCTCCCTCTAGTGGTCAATTCAATATTGCATCGCGTTATGTCCGGCATGTTTCCCTGTAGATTTAAACTGCCGGTTTTTATGTTGGACAGAAACCAGCGTAATATTGAATTGACCACTAGAGGGAGCAAAACACATGCAGAATATATATATATATATATATTTTAAAAAACGAAAGCAAAAGGAACACACAAGCGAGGGGAAGGAAAATGTGGGAAAGCCGTACGATGCAAACGGCTGGGAATTACTGGGACCTATTATTATTATGTAGTGGTGGCCACCTTTTCCTCAGGAGCTTATCTGTTAGCATTTGCAGGGCTACCAAAGGTGAAAAGCAGAGGCTTTGGGGGCCTGTCGGCCCAACAGCTCTCAGCACGAACAGAGACAAACTTTGTCAGAGTCTTGCGGTGTCTTTAGCCCGGACTTCCCGGACCTGGATTCACCGAAGTGGATGCCAGTCGGGTACATCTGCAGGCACATCCGTGACCTCTTGCA